GCCCTCTTTCCTTCATCTTTGGAGATTGCCATGCCTTGCTCTGATATGACCTTCTCATAGCCAGGATATATGATGTCATCAATGGTCAGTTTCATTTGGTCTCCACCCAGCAAAGGGATTGAGATGATGCAGCCAGTGAGAGCCTTTACCAATGGGATCTCTAGAGCCAACTCCAAATCATCCCCTTCTCTTCTAAACAAAGGGTGTCTTTTCTCAGCAATCACAAAAACTATGTCTGCTGGGTAGGCACCTGGTATCTCATTTCCCAATCCTTCAAATGTAATCTTTGTTCCTTTTTTCCATCCTGGCTTCACATTTATTGTTACCACTTCCTCTTCTTCAGCCACATGCCTGCCATAAAGAATACATTACAACAATATTATGAAAAGATATTAGGGTACCCTACGAGACATGCGAAGTCTCGTACATGCGTGAGAGATGTAGTCAACAATGCGGGTAAGCCCTAGTTTTATTCTACGTCAAGTGCAAGGTAACCAACCCGGTGTCTTTGACTATAGCCCTTGTGACCTTCATCTTCTTCTGGCATCCAAAACACAACTCCTCTAAGGTGCACTCAAGCTGCTTCTCAACGGCTGGGGGTTTCAACATCCCAGACGAGTTGGAAAACATGATGGGGGTCTTCCGGCTTTCACATTTCAAGAGGGAGGGATGGGCGGGCGTGGAGTCGGCGCTTTTAGTACACGTGGCGGCCTTGGGGGTTGACGGGGAGGGTATGGAATCCGGCCAGCTTTTCCGGCTCTTAGTTTTCTTGAGAGAGGGTGAGGGGGAGTGACTCCTTCTGCTAGAGCTTTTTGAGAAATGATGACAATGCATGTTAAAGAAATTATCCAAGCTTGATTGCTTGAAGTGACCTTTAACTTTAGGGTTTGGCGTATCATGGTCGCGTCGCATTCTTTGCAGGCTAATGCATCTAAAGCTATGAAATCCATGCATGGTTTTCTTTTCTGCTTTTGGTGTATCATCACCGACTTCCTGTATATATACATATGTTTATATATAAGGACACAATAATATGAATTGAGGACACAAATTAATCAATCGCCATGCATGCAACTAGCTAAATTGGCACATGGATGGAAACTTATTGCTTATTTATAAATAATGAGACATAGATGAATACGCATATAAATTATCAAGATTTCTAAGGAATTCAAATGCATGGTTAGAAATTTTTATATAATAGAAATGTTTTTTCTCATGTCACGTTGTTAGTCTGTTAATCCATACAATATATTCATCGGAAATGCGTTCTTATTTGAATGTACGGATCCAATTAATTGACAATATTAGAATGATGACACAAATGTTTACCTCAAAGATTACATCGTTGGTTATAGAGTTTCCAATTTGGTCTACTTTGGCTTCCCGATCTGGAGATGATTTCTTCTTGTCATGGCGCAATTTTTTGGCAATGGATCTATATGCTGCTCTATAGAGGTTGCGAAGAGGGCGCATGGGTAAAATCCACGCACCATCCACAGATTGGAAGAAGAAGAAGAAGAGGAAGAAGAAGAAGAAGAAGAAAAAGAAGAAAAAGAAGAAGAAGATGGAAGAGAGAAAGAGGGAAATTAAAAGAATGGCTCTATCCACAAGAATGCGTGTTTTACCAAATATGATGAAACTAGCAGCGTTTTATAAGGCCTTTCATTGATAATTAGCACAATCAGCTAATCGACAGGACAAAATAATTATCTACAACTGTTATATATGTACAACCGGTCTCTCACGTGTCTCACGTACCTCGTACTTCTCACGTGCTAATCACCTAATTACTTATTGAAGATAAAGATCACGTCTCACTTCTCACGTGCTAGACACGTAAATACTTATTGTGAGAGACCGGTTGCACAAATCGGTTGCGGAGAAGAATTTTCCTAATAGGACAGATCAATGCAAGAAATCTGTTCTTATTTTCGATGTTGTATATGGTCTTCAAGGGTGGAGATGGTTGTTATGTGTTGTGAATGTGCGTCTTCAAAACAATATTCTAGTCAACCTTTATCAATGAATGAGTGAACATAAGATAAATAAGTTTGACAACTGCTTTAGGGACAAACAGAATTTTGTTTTTTAATTGAAAGGGACAAACATATATTTAAGAAACGGTCTTGTAATTGTATCCCAATACATGATACATCTCTACAGATGTTTTTGTTGTTGTCATTTAGGGCTGATTTTTGGATGGATTAGATTGGAATTAGGGGATTTCAATTTCAATTCAAAAAATTTCGAAATTTCAATATCCATTCCAATTCCGAAAACTCGAATTTTATGGAAAATTTCGGAAACTAGTTCAAAATTTTAAACATGCACAACCATTTAAATAGTTAAAATTAACTCAAAATTTAAAATTCATATCGAATGCTTGAAAATCTATTATATTCTAGTGCTTGGATGTTGTTATTCTTTATGGAATAACTTGTCTATTTGGCCAATTAAATTATATGTAGTCCAACATGAAATTAGTAATTGTATGTAGTCTTAAGCTTGAAATCCCAATATCTTTTGAAATTTTAAATTTTTCGGAATCCTCGAGATACATTTCAATTCCAATTCATACTTTTTGAATTTTAGAACTGTTAGATGTCATAATTAGAATCAGCCAAAATCGGATTTTCTAATCCATCTTGCACCCTCATTCACTTCAGAGTATATTTTATGATCCGAATCACTATTTATCTTTTAGTTTCTCACTAAAAAGATCAATAATGCAAAATTTTACTCAAACTGAAAATTGTTCAATTATTTAAGTATGACTAAATAAATAGATGAACATAGTGTGAAATAAACCTAAACGAATAGTTATCTTAACTTACTAATGGGTTGTGTTTGAAAGCTACTAGAAATCATGGGATACAATTGAAAGCTGGATCCCAAGTCTATGCATTTTGACTCCACGCATTTATCCGCATTTCCCCTTATCTCGGTCATTATAACAATCCAACGACGTCAATTATAACATAAAATTTAGTTTTTTTACTTTAGGGTTTTTTTTTTTTTTTGGTTGTAAGTTGACGTTACTGTTACCGTCTTCTCAGAGTGCCTCACCTCCTTGCTCTCTCCCCTCTCCTCAGTTCTCTGCAGTATCTCAATTCTCGCTTCCAAGTTCCCACAATCTCTACTACTCAACACCATAGATTTAATTTCTTATTTTCATACAGTTTCAATAATTAAGCTTATCTATTCTTCATTAGCATGCCTCCAGAACCGAATCCACAACCTGAGCTCGACTTTGGTTTGGCCCTCCTCGCTCTCCTCGCCATGACTCCGAGTTCTTGGCTCACTACGCAGCCTAATTCTGCGTAGTAATGAGTCTGATTATGTGGTAGAACTTGAGTTACAGAAAGCGAAAATAAAGGCCGACGCCGAGTCGAAGTCTTCGTCAATAACAGTGCCCACGAATTAAATTTTGAAATTGTTATATAAAATTCCAAGTTAAAAAAGATTCATCAAATTTCAGATATTATTTGGGATTTTGATTTAGGTTTTGCAGTTGAGTATTAGAGATTGTTGTGAAGTGGGAAATGGGAGAGAGGGAATCGAGGAGAGGCAGGCGATGGGAAGGGGTAGAGGACAGAGATAACGACAGGGATACTGTTAGTTTAGAAAAAGAAAGGATACTGTTATGTTTAAGCCGCTAGATTTTTTTAACGGTTTAGATGAGGGCAAAATGAGGTAAAATGCAGATAAATGCTTGGAGTCTAAGAGCCTCCACCTCAAAAGGCAAAGGCAAGGTAAGGTTTGACACTATTCATATGAATACTGGCAGCCTTACCTTTTTGGGTTCCACCCCAAAGAGCAAGGGCAAATACTATTTACTTTATTCTATTTTATATATTTTTATATTTAAACCATTAATTTTGATAAGCTTTTCAGATAATATTTTCGGTTGCCACGTGTCAGTATTTATTATAAAGTTACATTAAATTGAAAATGCAAGAAAAAAAAAAAGATTATGCAAGAAAATATAAACAAATTGAAAATGCAAGAAAAAAAAAAGTTACATTAAATTGAATAGCCCATTTGTTTGTTGTTTTTTTTTTTTGGTTTGAATCACGAGGTGGTCCTGGATGGGCCCCAACTATGTGTGGCACTTTTAAGCCTTAACCACAACCCAGACTAATTCCCGCTCACATTGGGTCGGCCCTTAAGGGGTAAAGTGCTGGCCAAACTGGTGACTCCATACGAGAGCAGGGATCGAACTCTTGACCTCTCTTAAGGAATGAGAGTGCCGAACCATTCACACCAACCACCTTAGTTAGCCCATTGGTTTTTTGATGCAAATGGAAAGTAGTAGAAAAATGAGAGTGGAAATTAAAAAATATTGGAAGGAGAATAGTTTGTATGAAGATTTAGTTTGGAAAGTGAATAAAATTGTTAGGTATTTATAGGGAAAAAATCCAGAATTTATTGGTATTTTTTTTAAAAAATTTCAAATGTTTTTAGCCAAAAAAATCAAGGGCATCGGATTTCTGCAAAAAATTCGATTCAGAGCGTCTGGGAAGTGCCACGTGACGTCTTCCCGTTGGGGGCTGTAAAAAAATTTAATTTTCAGCCGCTCACATCAGCAACTTCGGGTAAGAGCCCAGTCCAGAATTGCCCTTGGGCTTGCCCGGGTTGGTGGGTCCCAAGGCTTGCCCGGGCTTCCTTTTGCACGCTGGAGGTCCAATTCTGGCCTGAGGGGGCCTGTTGCTCGAGTTAGTGTGCTGCACTGCACTTGCTCTAAAGGGAGAGACTCAAAAAGCTATTCTAATAATATATTCATATGCAAAATAAATAATAGGCAAAAAAAAGTCACTTTTAGCATTAAGGTTTATGTGGTTTCAAAGGTGGTCATATTTGTCCACGTGCTTTCAATTTGAAGCAATTCAAGAACAATCTTCAATTTTTATTAATTTTCTTAACTTTCGTTATTTGTGGAGGGGCAATTCGGCCTACTAATTATTAAAAAATTCATTCCATCCAAAAATAAACAATACAAATATAAATACACAACTTTTAAAAAAATAAAGCCTCTCTCTCCCCTTCTCCTCCCAACCCCGGCCAGCCAACACCTCCCTGTAACCCAACCACCACTGCAGCCACCCAAGCCCAAACAACCAAATCGCCCCATGGGGCAATTTTGACTTATCGTATGTTATTGGCTTGGCACAATGGTTATAGGAGAGAATGAGAATACTAAGTTGGGCCCATTCATCCTACTCGTATTCTCGTCGCAATTGCAAGCATCACAACTTAATTCTTCAGTTCCAATTTTGTGCACTCTTCTCCGTCACTTTGTCTCTCACGAAACCAGCTGAGGTGGTAAAGCTACTCTCTTTCTCATTCTCCATTGCTGATTGAGCTATTTCTCTTCTTCTCAATTTTTATTTTGTTTGATTTTATGATGAAAGATGTGGGTAGCTTTGGTTTTGTCTGACTTGGGTCTTCTATTAAGGATGTGGGTGAGCTTGATTTAGGGTTACCCATAAATTTTTTGTGATTTAGAATTTGGTTTGATTTTGGCATCTCGTTGTTTTTCCAGTTTTGGGTTGGATCAGTTTTAGATTCGCATATTAAATGATTGCTTCAACATTGTTATTAGCAAATTTTAGTTCTAAATTCAGAGGGCATGTTTATGTATCGTTTGCGGTTGTTGTTACCAAACTCCCCCTAAGTGTCCATTTGAACCTTTTGTTAGGGGTTAATTTCAATTTAGGCTTTTAAACAAAGCATTTATAGGATTCTAATTGATTTTTGAATTGGACTCGTTGTTTTATTTCAGATTTCAGCCTTTTGGTTTTCCTCTTGTTGTTAGCTTAAATAATACAAGTGATTAACAGGTTGTGTAAAATGTGGGTAATGTCATAAAACGAAGGAGGCTCTGGCAAAATTCTGACCGAGGAAAATTGGCTTTAAAAGTTCAGCCATCCCATTTTCAAATCCTGGGACCATCATCAAACGCTGAACAGACTGGAAACACTGACCCACTGGTATATATAGTGTTTGTATCTTTGCTTATTCGCTTCAGTTATCATGAATACATTTGTTTGATTGTTTGCTGAGGAAAAAGTACGGACATTGGACAAAAAGAGTGATCTTTGTTAAATTTTCACGTTTTCTCTGTTATCAAGAGAAAACCTGAATGATTTTGGGTTTTAGGTACTGAAAATTGTGCGCTTCTTATTACCCATTTTAATGCAATTTTCTTCTGCTTCGTAGTGACAGAGAAATTAAGTCCCAATGGATCTCACTCCATTTAAGCGTGACATTGATGAGCTTATAGATGCATTTGCTGAGGTAGAATTGGGTTTGTTTTTATTTCCTGTTCCCATCTTCTTTGTGGGTTATCTGCAAATGGTTACATGGAGGTTATTTTTGGGTTTTGGTCCTTGATGTTTCTTGATGCATGTGGATTTTGGATATTGACAGGGTGAATCAACGAGTTTGGCTGACATGAAGAGAATTTGGCTTTCCAAAAAGTTCTCTTACATTTACGAGGCACGTCCTTCTACCAACTTGGCCTTCTTTATGCAGTCATTATATGCCCATTCAATTGGTAGGCTCTTGAACGTTTGACTCGGGTTACTAGTTGATTAAACTAGGCAAGTACTTTAGTTTTGCTGCTGGGATGCTGCCAATGCAAGATTTTCACTTCGGTTAATAGTTGTTCTGGTGACTAGAGCTGTGCTGTTAATCATGGTGTGTGTAAACTGTAAATAAATCTGGAGATAGAACCTCAAAATTGAAGAAATACTTATGCTTGGAGTTGACAACCTGGGGTGACCAAATGAGACATTTAACTTGTGAAACAAAACTATTAAGTAGTTGGTTTTTCATTTTTGTTTTTCAATGTAAAACGTTCTTAAGTAATGGTGATGTTTTCAGTGCACTACATTGGGTCACTTACCTATCTCTTCCACTTGGTTTTTGGAAAAGTCTTAACAACTACCTGATTCGTTGTATGTCATGCTTAATATCATCAAACATTCAAGATGGGGGTTCCCATTACCAATTTTTTTTATTGCTGAGTGTTTGAGACTAACTTTCATATGCTTATGTGCAGGATACATAATCGGTACAGCTACTTTATCGCACAAACTGGGTGGGCTCTATTGCCTCTTCTGTCTCTATGAGACTCAACCATTCAAACCTCCTTTTAAGATTTATCTATCTCTTGGTATGTATGTAGATTTTACTTTGAACAATTGAGCTTGATTTAAAATTAACTTTATCCTAAGTCTGGTTTATTTTAATGAAATGGCACTACACAGCATTAAGTCAATACGTGGAAACAGAGATAAGATATGCATTATTTGTGCGAGCATGTGTCCTGATGCCTTGTACTGACAATAGATGATGTACACTCTGGGTGTCTTTGTGTATTACTCCTTAACTAATATTAGTCTGGGTGTCTTTGTGAATTACATGGATATCAGTGTGTATTCTTTGAGGGAAACATAAAATGTGAACTTCTGATCAATTTCTGAACACAAGCTTTATCAAATCAAATATCAAGTATTGAGCCCAAACAAGATGCTGATATGGAGTTCCTATTTGGCACTTGATATTTATAATTTTCTCAAATAAGGCTTAAAACTTATAGTTATTGAAGGTATAAGCTTTTATGATGGCTGCTCTCCTGGTACCATATTTCTTTGTTTTTCGTGCTTAGTGCATTTCTATTCTCCAATTGACAGAAGAACTGAAGAAACTTCGAAAGCTGGTTATTAATGCAAAGGAACACGATTTAAGAGTGGTATCTGCTTTGGTGAAAAGGATGCTAGAAAAGAATGTTTTCCTGTTTGGCTCTGTAGACACAAATGAAGGCTCTTTTACAGAGACGGTAGACCAACTGACACAGTTACAGAATGCTCGAGTTCAAGTTGCATACAAGGAGTATGTACAAACTTACGTTTTTTCTCTAACTGTTGCATTAACATAGAGGTTTTGTGATATTTGTAAATCTCTCTAAACTTTCTTACTGATTCTTTGATTTCCTTTTGACTAATAGGTTATTTGCTAATACTAAGATTGAGGACTTTCTCCACATGGATTTGGTAAGTTAAAATAGTCCTCGAACTTTTGTCCCGTTGTTTGCTTGTTGATAGAATGATTATATCTTTTCAAGTTAGCTTTAGGTGTCTAATATAGTAATATCCATTCTTGTTCTCACATATACCAGGGAATGGAAGTTGACCTGAATATGCTCAAGAAAATGTCAACAGATTATGCAGAGGCCAAGAAAATAGCAATTAATGGTACATTTTCCCCTAATTCACAGTTATTAAATAATTTTCCCAAGCCTCCCCACTCCATTTGTTTCACTATTGCTGCCTGTAATATGATTTCAGCAGCCTTTATCTCAAATAATTATTGAATGCTAGTTCCCTCATGTTTTTTTTTTGGCATTATTGTAGTTGTTAGTTTTCAACTATCTAATCATTTCTTTATTTTCCCTCTTTCAAATTGAATTCTTGTTAAAGAGGCCAGCAAGGTCGTGGATGTTCAAGATATAAAGCACATATCAGAAGATAAGGAACTGGTTGGAGATGCAGTGGAGAAGATGGTAGGGCACTGGGATGCTCAAAGAGAATTGTTTTATCAACAAACAGGAGCAAATCAGAAGCTCCCTGAAGGAGAGCAGCAACTAGAACCAAAGCAGCTGCAGCTGCATCTGCAGCTCCTGAGTGATGATGAGAACTTTGATCAGGAATTGGAACAACTGCTATCTGAAACATGATCATACAAGCTGTTGAAAAACAAGGCTTCATTGCCCTCTATGGATGATAATACTAGGGATCCGGCAGCTGGCAAGGTTGATGGCTGGATTTTTTCTGAAGTTGTTATGACTTTTATTTTGATACTAAGGTCTCAAGTTTCAAAAGAAGGTGATGGAATCCAGCGGCTGCTTTTTTTTAGGTGTTTCATGAGACAAGTGCTATCTATGTTGAATTTTGTACATATTAGTGTTTGGTTGCAAAGTTATGAACAATGGCTCTAGTGATCTCATTTGATACATTTTCCCTTCAATTGGATTGCCCAAGGGAAAATGTAAAGAAAATGAGAATTCAATGCACATATTAGCTTTGACCAAGAATCTGACTTTCCATGATGACATGTTGACTTTGCACCACCTCTCCTTATTCCAATATATATAAAAGCAAGAGTTTGTAGTTAAAGTAATTAAGAACATTCATCCTTGAACCGAGGTCTAGGTTCGATTCCCCTCAACCCCGATATCCCTCATATAAAAAGTAATATATATAGATAAAATGGTATCTTCTTTTTGCAAAGGGGCGCTACCCAAAAATCTGAGTTTCCATTACTCACTCTTTTTGAATTGATCTTTACCTAGAATACAAATTGCCCGCTGGCATATATATGCCATGTACGATAAGGGTTCAAGTAGCATCCTATTTTGCAAAGCTGAAATAGATAGGACCCTTTCTACTTATCTTTGGCACGGCATATGCGCATAGCTTTTTATAGTATCAATTCAACCCACAACATCTAATTGGTAATTTGGTGCATAGACAAAGATAAGACAACCAAAGAAAAAGTTTGTCCCTTTCGTTGCTTACTTTATATTATCATTTGAGATTTGATACATAACACCTTCAGGCTACCTAAAACAAGTTATCTTTAAGAACTATAAAGCAAATTGGAATTCTCATCAAGAATTGAATTCCACTTATACATGATTCTTCTGTTTACTTCACATCAATGAATTAAAAAGTAAGAGGGGCTTACACAAAATTAGGAATTGAATTCCTGATTTTGGAGGAATTCAATTCTTGGGTGGTAGGTGGTATTCTAATTCCGGAAGAACTAATCTATTAGGAATTCATCTTTTTTACTCATTATATCCTTACACAATTTTAAAATTTTCAACATGATTTAGTAAACAACTTTAATACAAATTCAGAATCCAATTCTTCTCAATCTATATGGTTTAATAAACAACTTCAATAGAAATTCGGAATCCAATTCTCCTCAATCTAACTCCCCCTCAATTCAATTCCTCTTAATCTAATTACGAATTAGTAAACATGTTATGAAGGACACCTTATAATAAAACAGTCAAACCAACCTAAAAGGACTCTTTCAAGTCTCAACTTTTGTTACTTTCACTTTCAACCACATGCACAAAAATGTGAAAACCCAAATCCAAGTGGGACCCATTTGTCTCCTTCTAAATTTCCAATGACTAATTTGCCCTTCCTAATACCAGAATTCAAGTCAACATCTGATGGGTAATCTGGACATTTCCAAACATCTCACCTCGACAAGCATTCCGCGGTTTTGACGCGGGTTTTTTGTTCTCTCTCTCTCTCCCTCTCTCCCGCTGTGAAACTTCCAGTATCCAATTTCCAACGTTGACACGCCAGTAGGACCTGTGCTGAGAGTTGAATCCCCAGAGTTCACTACTTTTTTTTTTGTTTATTTATATTTTTCGATTTTCAGCAGACTACAAAGCTTTGAACCCTTCTTGGGATTTTGATCCAACCGAGTCGTCTAAAGGAGAAAGAGGTTCTCTGCCACTCACAGATTCTGATGGGTGGTGATAAAAGGAACAGAGTATTTGCATTGACGGCCTTGCTCATTCTGGGTTTGTCTGTAACCTTCCCATGTTGTTTCTCGGCAGCCAATCAGCCCCAGACCATGAAAAAATCGGCCCGAGCGAATAAATTTGGTTCTTCAGCTGTTTTTCCTCTTCATGGAAGTGTTTATCCTCTTGGGTATGATTTTTCGCACCTCTTTCGTTTTGGGGTTTGAAATTTTGTTCCTTTCAATTTTTTTTATTGCATTATCAAGTATTCTTGTTGTATTGTTTTGTTTTTCTTTCTTGAATTTCTCTGATTGGTTGTTGAGGGTGTGATTATGGGTTCCTGGACTTGGTTTCGGGTTAAAGCTTTAATCTTTCATATATTCACTAAACATGTTATTAGAGTTGGAAATCTTTTGAAGTTTCTTGACCCACCTTTTCATTTTTAATCCCCTGCTTATACTTTGAATACCCTTTTCCAGTTTCTGATTTTTCTTTTTTAATTGCCTGAACTTTTTCTTAGACATCTTACTCTCTTCTGGAAGCTTTTTATCTAATAGCATACATAAAAAGTTTAATCTTTCACTGTATAAAAAGTGAAAAGTTGTCGGTCCGATCCCTTTTTTCATTTTCTTTTCTTTAGGTAACTCATTTCCCTTCAAAGTTTAGTTGTACTCCTGCACTACATATGAGCTACGCATATGCCTGCCAGAATTACAATTTTAATATGTTTATTGTTTTCCACTTGTTCCATGATTATTTTTTATGAATTTGAAGCTTCTATTTTCTTGTCCATTAAATTTAATGCTTTTAAAATACTTTTTTGGGTGATGTTATGAATTGGTGTTGTGTTCTGGCTTTTCTTTTTGCCTCCATTTTTATATTTGTCTTCTTTTTTTTTTCTTTTTTTTCAATGTGTGGTGAATGACCTCAAGATTTGATTGTATTTTCACTCCGCAGGTACTACTCTGTGTCCATCAACATAGGCTACCCAGCCAAGCGCTTCGACCTCGATATTGACACTGGCAGTGACCTCACTTGGGTCCAATGTGATGCTCCTTGTACCGGTTGTACCAGGGTAAAACTTTATATTGAGACTGTGAGACTAACATTCTAATGACCATGTTCTCAACTCGGTGTTTCTGTCTCTGTTTGTGCATTTGCAGCCCCGTGAATATCTTTATAAACCCAAAAACAACCATCTGCAATGTGGAGACCCTCTTTGTGTTGCCTTCCACTCACCAGCAAGCGACCCATGCAAGACCCCAGATGATCAATGCGACTATGAGGTTGAATATGCTGATCAAGGATCATCTCTTGGTGTGATGGTCAACGATTACTTCCCCCTGAAGTTCACCAACGGCTCTCAACTTGGTCCTCGTTTGGCCTTTGGGTGGGGTATTCAGTGCTTTCTTTTTGTACATCAGTTGGCAGCATTTCAGAATTTTTATACTGATCATGTTATTTTTTTATATTTGAAATCCTGAGGTTTTGTTAGTTTTGTAAGCTTTCCTATTTTTAAACTTCAGGTTGTTTTGTTTAGGAATGTACAAATGAATCAAACTTAAGTTAATGCCTTGCAACTAAAGTGCCAGCACTTTCTATTTCTGAGTTAAGTTCTTATAATGTTTTCTCTTTCTGTTGTCTGCAGGTGTGGATATGATCAAAAACATCCTGGTCCAAACACACCTCCCACCACAGGAGTCATCGGCCTTGGCAATGGCAAAGCCAGCATTGTGTCACAACTAAGTCGCATGGGTTTAACGCGTAATGTGGTGGGTCACTGTCTAAGTGCGCAAGGAGGAGGATTTCTTTTTTTTGGGGATGATCTTGTCCCTTCGTCTGGAGTCATGTGGACACCAATGTCACGCAATTCCATGGAGTGAGTAGTCCTAATTTATCCTATTTACCTTCTCATATAGCTTTAAGTGTTCTAAAATGATCACATACCATTATTTCTAATTCGTGTGTAATGCATCTTTGCCAATTTCATAGAAATCACTACTCCTCTGGACCAGCAGAACTTGTATTCAATGGAAAGTCTACCAGTGTTAAGGGGCTTTATCTGGTTTTTGACAGTGGGAGCTCCTACACTTATTTCAATTCCCAAGCTTACACGGCAGTAGTTAATCTGGTGAGAAAGAAACAAAGGAGACCATTCTTCCTTTAGTTAATTGTTAATAACTTATATGGAAAACTAACATTGTTAATAACTTATATGGAAAACTAACCATCATTTAATGTGATCAGGTAAGAAATGATTTAGATGGAAAGCCAATAAAGGAAACAAGTGAGGACAAATCCCTTCCAATCTGCTGGAAAGGCCGCAAGCCTTTCAAATCTGTTGGTGACGCGAAGAACTTTTTTAAGCCCTTAGCACTGAGCTTCATTAATGCCAAGAATGTTCAGCTGCAATTATCACCCGAAGATTATCTTATAGTTTCGGTGAGCACCCCAACTGTCTTTCCATTTATATTAACTTTATCCCATCTACCATTAGTTAAGAGAAGAAAACACTGGGAAAACCCATATCTAAGTTTTTCTTTGTTGCCAGAAACATGGCAATGTGTGCTTCGGGATTTTGAATGGCACTGAAGTAGGACTGGGAAATCTGAATATCATCGGAGGTAGCAAATACTAACAGAACCAATACCTTCTGGCTCTTGTTTTTGTCCTGTGAGCAAAATCTGATCTATTATTTTCTCTCTGCAGACATTACGTTGCTAGATAAAATGCTGATATATGACAATGAAAACCAGCGAATTGGATGGGCTCCTGCAAATTGCAATAGACTTCCCAAGTCCTGATCCGTTCTCTCATAATTTCTTTTTTTCTTTGATGTATATGGTGAGGGTTTTCTCATCAGAGAACTCTTTTTTTCAGTGTTGATCGTGAATACTCTGAAGGTAATTCTCAGCCTATTGTAGCCAATTTGGGTATCTTGGAACAGCATTGTCCTGCGTATGCATTGTATGATCAATAAGGCGGTATACAGAGAAGGCTTCAAGACCAAAGACCAAAAGAGTAAAACGGGAAATAGCTTTATATATATATATATATATATATGTAGCAGATACATGCAACATTTGGGTCACAGGAGTTTTACAATAGTTCTTTTGTCTACTACTCTAGCAGAGAGAAGAAAAAAGAAGTTAGTTCTAGTTGTCTTTTGTGAACTTACAAAGTGGGAAATGTAGGCGGGTATATATACCCTAGTACGTGATAATACATGCGTTTAGATAAATTCATGTATAGCAATATCCCTGATCTGATCCATCTCTTCTGCTAACTAGTCGCATGAATTTTTAAGTTACAAGAAAATTGCATCTCCTGAACGATCGTTTCCTAAGCTCTTCCTTGATTTGTGCCTGGAAGCCGGTGATCGGAGACATAAATCAATCCGGTTACTGTTCATATTCTGTACAAAATAGATTACACCTGCAAACTACCTGCAAGAAGTGCAAAGTATAATTCATCAGTACCATTACAAGTTCAAGAAGTGCATACTAACCCATAAAGCACATCACACTAATTATCCATTTACATGCTATTAATGAGCACAAACTCAGCTTGGTATCCACGGAAGAAATATTTTCACCTCTTAAAATGATAAG